CGCCTCGATGTACCCCCCGCATGGGAACCCGACGGGAGGGCGGTGGCATCACAGGCGGTCTCCAGAGGGCCGGTAAAGCTAGCAGTGAGGGCTGGTTCAACCCTACTGCCTCCACTGATTCAAAGTTGGGCGCAGACACAGTCCAGGGTGAGTCATTGAGAGCGCTGCAACCAAACTAACCTACCGCAAAGAACATATTATAGTGTTGCCAGAAGCCCGGTTCTCGTTAGTCTACGGCGGCAATGCGCTTTGTAGGGACGTCATATATATTGGCCTACCCGAGTAAGAACGCCTTTTAATTATTCAACAGACCGAACGTATTTATAACATTTCTTTAGTGCGAAAACGGGCTGACCAAAGAACTTTAAGTAAGGCCGTCAAGACCTCACCCGTAAAACCCTTGTTACCATCATTTCTATCTTGGAAGTGGTCTTGGGCGAAAGTGCTGGGATGGGGTGTATAGATGTACTCATATCCTACCGTTTTTCTGCGGCATGTTAGTTGGTTGGAAATCACCTAAACCATTTTGCTGTGTCTACTTTTCTATAGTTCTTTTCAACTGTGAATGAAAAGGCCTAAAATTTTTAAAATAAAGTGTAATTTTTTGCTGGCCGCCTCAGGTAGACTTGTTTAGTTCAGTATCATTTACAAACTTTTTAGACTTTCAGACATCGTCGAATGTGATTTAATTGCTTCTGTTCACATGAAGTTTTCTCTAAAACCCATGCAGTATTGTCGTTTGGACAACAAAATAAATCCGCCTTGCGGGTCACAGATTTAGCGATATTGGTTTTTTGTGAGGAAGTTAGACGTATCTCCTATAGCTCGATAGGTCAAACACTCCGGTTGATTCATGAAATCGGTGGTCCTACCACGTTTGGGAACACCAATTAAAATTCGTTTAGCTGTAGACTAACACAGTCGTTGGTATCTGAATTGTGATAACTTAGAATTCAGTTAGAAATCTCTCGCAACCTCGAACAGACCTACTATGTTCCGCTGCCAACATTAAGTCGAGGTGGATGATAAACTTGGAAGCCTCCGTGTATGTTTGCTCTTCTACAAACCACCTCAATGCTATCCATCGTAGTTTTGGTCTTGGTCACAAGCATCAACTTACCTCATCCTTGGTGTGATAATCGCTTGACTGCCCTGATCCCACTAGTCAATTATCTCGACCCTATAATTGGTGTTGGTGATTGTACTACTAATGGCTCAGTGCTGTCGCTGGAAGCAGTGTTGACCTGCGAACTTCCTGCGTAACTGATTGCTCCACCCAGGCCGTCCTAGCGCTGAAGTGGGAAGGAGGATGATTATAACGTCTGCTAGTGGGCAGTCAACTGGATAACACGCGCGACTGCCATCTTTTACGAAGATTTTGGCCAAGTTAGGCTTCAAAAATGTGGTCTGATGCGGTCGAACGAACTGCGACCCGCCAATTGACGTCCTTTATCTTCACTGATGAGGTGATTTTGAGCGTGCGCGCCCAGAGTAATCTTCCGGTTTCCCTGACGTAGTCGTTTCCCCTCGACTGCACCAATTTCGATAAGTCAACTTAGACTTGTGTTGTCATGACAGTGGTGATCTCACTTGGCATCCGATGCCTCCAACCTGTGTGCACCTGCAAATCCGAATGGACGCCAACCTTTGGGATGTGTTAGAAAGGCGCTCATCTTTCACATTACGGAACATCCTCATCCCTTTGTGCCTTGGGATGTGCTTGGCATACGGTAACGTCGACTCAAGTGAGAGTCCAGTGCAGTTTCGCCCCTCGTCTCATAAATAATTAAAATGTTTTATTTAGTACAAATAAGGGTGCTATTAGGGTAAATACAAATGCGTTTTCCAGTGACTTTTAGAGCGGATAAGCGAACTCTGTGAAATTTTTAGCTTGTATTTATAAGAGAGGGTCTGATAGGAGAAACGGTCAACGAACAGTAAAAAATTCCCCGAAATTGGTTGAAGGAGACATAAAATGCATTTGATTTCTTTTTAAGGAGAAAAAAACTGTCGCTCGTTGGAAATTTAATGTGCGTGGGAGTCGGGAAGGCCTTGCAGGTAAGACTATATAAGGGTTCGAAGCGTTCTTCGTCAAAGGAGGATTCCCAAACCAACGGAGGATCTTCACTGCAGATGCGATCATAATATTTTGGGGATGACAACAGAGACCAAATAAAACATCAGCATGCTTTCGTCGACAAATTTATGTGATTATATAGCCATTCGCCCTGAGCAACTGTCGAAGTTACTACCCTTCGGTCCATTGCACTGTATCTACTCGGACTGACATAGCACGCCTACGCAACTGCGTTGGAGGCTGATTGGATGTTTTTTGCTGTTGGTGCCTAGAAATGGTTACCCTCCTGACCACGTCACTCTTCATACCCTCATCTGTAGCAGAGATTGGTATGGCCTTAAAAGCCAAGTGTTCGGATTCCGCTGATATCTAAAGACTGTGAATAAGAAGAAGAAGTGATCTCTGGGACAAAAATTTTATTAGTCAGATGTTTCAAAATCCGTCGCGGATCCTTCATCAGAGATATTAACAGAAACAGTAGCAGAAACTGGCAATTCATTCACGAGGAGTTGCTGCGGCTCAATTTGGCCAAAGCAAGTCGCTTCTTGAGGAACACACAGGCCAGCGCGTCGTCTAACGCCAACGCTGAGGAACCAGATGGCCGGGTAATCAACACGTCCAATTCCGAAGAAGAAGAAGATGCGGTCACTGGAAAAAGAATTTTATTTTCCTGACGTTTCGGATTCTGTTGAGAATCCTTAATCGTAGGTAACCGTAGAATAACGTGAGACATGCGCAGGTTGCGTGATTTTTATAGTTCGTAGCGGTCATCCGCAAGCGTACTATAATTATCAGCTCCTGTAACACCGTTTGGGGTCTTACTTGATGCGGTAATGGCTTGACATTCCGATGTCGACTCGTTAATTGTCGCGATTTTGTTGTCCGTGTCGGCTGTGGGCTTTATAATTGCACGAAAATTATGCCCGCTGGCGTCGTAGTTGTTGCTGGGCAACTCGTAGCTCACGCTGTAGTCACCTCTTGCGAGGATTTCGGCCTCGCTAAACTTGAAAATATGACCGGGTCCCGTCGAGTGAGCTGCAACCTGGGAGTTAGCGTCTTTCTTCCTCATCGCCGCTGCATGATCGGCCATTCGCGTCCGGATTAATCTCCCGGTTTCTCCGACGTAGTTGATTTGTCCACAACTGTATGAATTACCCGTTTCTGCTCGTGTCTCTGATGAGGGATCCACGACGGGTTTCGAAACGTCAGGTGAATAAAAGTCTTGTCCCAGTGATCACATCTCCTCCTCATTTCCTTCCTGGGACCCGCATGTTCGCTTGCATTGGCAATCTAAGGGCTGTCTTTCCGCACACATAATTTGCGATGATGAAGAAGAAAGAGGCGGGTTAAAATGTACTACTAAGGTAGTCACTGGTTATATAGTGCAGTTTTTCGGGCGGCCGAACATAGGCTCGTTTAAAAGCCAGTATCCTGATGTGACTGAAATATCTTGAGATCATGTTGCACTATAGTCAATATTACAACCATCGATACGTAACCTTTTCGAATCGAAAACACATTTCATAGTTTCGGTTAACGTCTCCTGGATACTACAGCTACTGTACATACAGTACTGACCGTGAGGGCCCAGGTATCTCCTCAGTTAGCAACCCCCCAAGTCGTGACTTTTAGTGCGTCTTAATAGAGTTAAGAACCTATTTGGAATCGAGTGCCTGCACGTGCCCTGAACCCT